GTGTAAATATCTATGTTTAAAAGTTCTGTCGATAGTTTGTCACATTATTATTTTGTTCGATATGCTATTAGAAAAACAGTTATAATAACCGATTCAGAAATCGTTTCCCAGAACTTTCATTTATGGTGTGAGTTTATTTTCACGTTAAATCCTGAACAATCGCTCGCATGTTTAGCCATAACTCCATGAAGTCAGAGCACTTCGAAGATGTAGGATTGCTCACGTGGACTTTATTAAAATGGTTAAGATCTCTTCCGGAACGACAATCGCTCGCATACTTTTTCCTAGTTGAATTTTCCTCACGACTTTTACCCTCTGATTGGTTATCATGTTTTTTTAAGTTCGCTAAATTGCCACATGATCGAAGGCCATATTCTGCTACTATAGTGACAACTTTGGTACCAATATTGTTTGAGTGGCTTGTTGTGTAACATATATCAAATTACCTACAATTTCGTCCTCTCCATGTCTTAGTAATCGAGGTTTGATGTGTTGAGCATAATAGACTGTTGTCAGTTCCAAAGAGAACATAAAGTATTAGAGAAACACCGTCGTTTTCGTTCCTAAATCCATAACGTCGCAGGCCGTACTGAACCGTAATAACATGATACAACAAGGACAGATTTATTAAGCAATGCATGTTACTTACCAAATGGCACAATTTATTACAGAATTTAGACGTAAACAACCGCTATGTACACAATAATAGCATTCCTATTCTGAGAAAATCGTTAATAGATCACATGCTATTTCTCAGACACAATTGTGTTGATGTAACTAAGCTTCCATACACTCAACAAGTCATTTTAATGGTTTTGATTGGTGGTGTACTTCTAAAATAACGTATTGAGGCTCCCGGGATATTCACAATCGACTGAACTTCAAAAATAAGGAGTGAATTCTAACCATTTCGTCATTTGAGTTATCTGAATCTTTGCAGGCTTGCTAGTTAATTATCGAACAACCCATGCGTATGGTGAGAGACGATAACTTACGTTTTTTATGTTTGTTTGTCCACTAAAATCTTAATCATGGAATATAATCTAGTTGTATTAACAGTAAAGAGACGTTGCTTATGTTACATAGCCAGTAAGTTTACAAATATAAGGGTGGCTTAGATTTATAGTTTCAAATAAATGATATCCACGAGACAAGTTTGTATAAACCAGTTGGTTTCCTTGAGCTCACTTCCTTCTGTTTTGGTGAGAGTCCAGGTATATGAATGGTTGATAGTTGGTATCATAGCCTTTCAAATGCACACATTCTGGTCGATTTGTTAGTCATTCATGGACCCGTATAAAATGCAATCTAGGTGAGTGAATTTTTATCAGAGGAATGACTTTTCGGAAACCAATAACTATCACTTTACTGGCAGGAGACATTTATCAGGCACGGCAAATCTAGCGGGAGATGATAATTTATGTGTTAGTATATGTATGTCAAGTCGCCGCTTAAAGCCAATTACTAAGGCGGTTTTTGATCACTTCGGCTGAAAGAGCATTGTAAACCCCTATTGGGTAAAAGTATGAGCGTGTATGGCTTTTCGGTTATTTATATGCAACTTTTGGGGATGGGGGTTACCTCTAGGAACGTGTTAGTGACATACCTTTAACATGATTGTTTTGGGGTAACCGAAAGAACTTAGTATATTTTGTGCCATTGTCAGATCACCCTCTACTCTCCCATATCTCAGCAAGAATAAAGCGGTGTCGGAATCCACTTTCGTCAGCTCCAATTCTCACTCCTATCGCCCATTCACCTGCTCGTCTGTGTAAGTGGTTTGATGTCTGTGCTGGAGAAAGGGGGGTACTATAAATGTGAACTTCAAAGAGAAACCGTGAGTAGGATTTAAAGCGTTTTAAAAACAGTCCTCGCGTGATTTCGTCAAGTTGTCTTTGGATAAAGTGATGAATTCGGTTTGTTTTGGCTGCATCTTAGATGTATTTTATGTATTTTTAAAAGCTCATAGATCCAACACACCACTGTAAAAGCAGAGAGAGACGAGGAACTTGAGTAAATTATGCAAATTTGTTTTTTTAGGATATATGGGTACATATGTATTATTTTTGCTGTTTGCCTATGTTTTACCTAGTCAAACAGATAGATGGCCTAACAGGTGTTAGAATAGTTTTATATTTTCCTACCCTTATCACTACTGTGATCGTTGTCAAATGTTAGTGTGGAAATATATTTACTTAATAATCAAGCCAGTCACGTATTATTGATCCGAAATGTGTTGATTCGATACTGGGACGTTATCTAGTGTAGAAATTCGTCTAAGGTAAACCAACGTCTCATATATATGGGGGAAAACTAAGCGCAATTTCAATTTTACTGGGTTATATGGAGACTTGTACGCTTACTGTAAAGAGCTTTGTTTCATCACGTGCGTTAATATAGGATGGTGATCAGTTGGGACAGTGCTATTTGTAAGTCGTGTGAAACATTGTCAAGTTCTTAAGTAAAACAATTGGTGTGGATGACAATGAGTAGTAGAACCAGAAGGCTATAATTCTTTCAACCATATCGTGAACAGTTTACACTCAATGGAACTTTGGTCCAAACCAACTTTATCGATCCAACGAAGATATGCTGGATTAAATACCCATGATAAAGGTTATATTGACAGTGTTGGGCTAACAAAATCTGGGAAAACAATGCTAAAGCGTTTGAAATTATTCTAGAGCACATTTCATCGCAAAGCGAATGTGAATCTGTTTAATTATAAATCTGATGTATCAGAAGGGACATGTTGAAAATACCTTCAAAAAGTTGTATTGGATGGTATTGTTACTTATTTATACCTTTTCCCTGTTTTGTATCCTAACATTTATTCCCGTCTCTTTAAATCGCACATAATGTCCCCCAGTTTTCGTTACCTAGGCTCTTACTATCTGACCTTGGTTAGACATTTACCGGACCATTCACAATAAGGTCGTGCTTGACTGAATTCAAGGTCATGACGTAGTTCAGTTTAGGATTATTAACCTTTGACAATCTACTTAAAAAAGTTACTGGAATTTTTGCCGATAGATACCTGATCCTATTTCGCTGGGAATATTTTTTCAGGTATCTAACTCTTATTTATTCAATATTACGTCTGATGTTTAGTACATTACTCTTTGCTCGAGAAACACTTGACTGTATAACACAGGCTGTACGGCCTGAGGTGCATTGTACCTCGATATATAGTGTTTTGTTTCTCAAATCAGAAGTGTTTAAATTGAACACATGGTTCGAGTTTTGATATAATTTAGTACGAACCACTCAAAAATTCTTCGTATGCTATATGGAATGTAGTTTGGCCTGATCGAATAAACTTTGGCTCGTTAGTTCAACATTCAGACCGAATACTGGAAATACGGTCATTACATCTGGGTCGGTATTAAATGTGAACATGTTTTCTACAGAAATAATAAACTTAATCGACAACTGTAGATTCTGAATAATGTGACTACTTAACATACCAGACCTTAATAATATTATTATTCACAAATATCTTATGGGTACATAAGTGTTGTGAAGAAACCATTTAGGGTTTCTTCAGAAATGTGATGTGATTACCTAATACATAAGATCTTACATGGAATTCATATCATCGTCTACATGGTCTCACGCCATCGTAATCATCACCACAGTTTGTTGGACAAAAAATTAAGACTAGAGATAGAACAATATATTTAACATGAATGAAAGGGATAAACTACACAAGAATGACCACGCCTGCAAGTTGAGCCATGCCATCCGATGAACTGAATTACTCCTTCCCGCCTTCTCCATTGCTGACCTCTTCGTGTCAGTTGGTGGATATAAGTCTTTTCAGTAATTATGGGCCCGGTTTCAAAGGTCGTTTGGTTAGGGCCCAATGACACTACAACATCATGACATATCTACAATTTTAAAATTAGGTCTATTATTATAGTAGTAGTAATAACGAAGTAGACCATAATTTTTCGAGGATATGTAGAATAACCACCCGCATGCCCGAGTAACGCCATTCTGACTCAATGTTCCCATGTTCACCATTTTTGACCTTCTCCATCATGTTAATCATTGAATGTAAGTTCTCTAAATTATCGTATGTTCGTCTTTAAGGATTGTGTGGTTGAGAACCAAATACCATTACAAATCAACATCAATCGTTGCAAAATAATATCCTTTTCGAGAATGAGAAATGGCTGCCATACGTAAGGAATGAAATATAACAAGACAAATTATCCACACATAGCAAGCTGATCATGCTTGAGTTAAATCACTAGGCACTTATGTATTCGAAATGAACATATTATAAGCTCTATTAAGGCGTCCAATCAAATGATGGAACTTAGTCTCTTGTCTTATTTCCGACGGAGGACTTGTCAAAATGTTGGTCATTTTTAAAATACATTGCCAAACTCTGTCACTGACTTCTGGTCCCACCAACTTCGAGTTTTTCATCAAATAGGCGTTACAGACAACAGGTTGTCAAGCCCTGGATATCCATGAAATCTCTGGGCAATGGCATCAAAAAGACTGAACAAACCAGTGAGATAGCGAATAGAGGTTTACATAGTCCACGGTTACCTAAAGAGCTTCAAGGTGCCTTGGCGAAGATATATTCATATTTTTGTATTATATAAAACACTAGTTTCAAGCAGCCAATCCAGGCAATATTAGGGATCCAGACAAACTTGAGAATATTCATATTATGAATAGTTATTTGGTGACAGACCCTTCTAATATATATGTATATATATATATATATTGACGAACGATTAAAACGAATTAACCGTTTTCTACTTCTAAAAACGTAGTGTGAAGTGACTACATACTACTATTCCGAAACTCGACCAACTATCAATAATTAGATTCTTAACACGTCTTACTTTTCAGTTATCTCCAAGACCAATGATCTCCTTAAATAAACAAAGCAGGTTCAAGAATGTTCTCAGAATAAACTCAATGGGATTCCATTTTCTCCTCAGTTGTCAGGGTTTTTATTCATGAACGATAAAGATATTGAATTTCAAGGTCGCTGTTTAACCGTGGACGTAACAAGTAAGTGTCTTTTGAATTTGTGTTGTTAATGTCAAGGTCCTATTACAGACTTGCCGTAGTTTAACACCGCCATTTACTAGTGTTCACCGGTTTTGTGTTTCACTACATACGATTGTCTCTGTCCACTAATTTTGGACTGACGATACGTACATACATACGCTCGTCATCATATCTCATAATTGCAGGCCACAAATATCAGCGAAGTATCAGAAAATGAGTTACAACAACATAGTTTCTTGGATGCTTATAACATTCACTGCTGCTATATCATGTGTCCTGACCTATGTATTCTCTAGATACCAACACGATCCTTACATGGATGAAGTTTTTCATGTGCGCCAAACATTAAAATATATTCAAGGAAACTGGAAGTTCTGGGACAGTAAGATCACCACACCTCCCGGTCTTTATGTGGCTTATGTGTCCGCTTACAGAGTTTTGAGTTCATTAGGTGTACTTCCATCTGAACCTACTGCAGTGCATTTTAGGTTTTCGAGTGTTCTGTTCAGTATAATTAATCATATAATTATACTTAGGCTTGTTAAAATCATGAAATGCAACTCTCCCAATATTCTAGCCATCACTATCGCATCAGAACCATTATTCCTCTTTTTCTCTGCCTTCTATTACACTGATCATTGCTCGATTTTATTCGTCATGGCCTCTGTTTACTTTAGTTTATTACATCACGACTGGTTAAGTGCTCTGTTTGTCTCCTATGCTGTCTTCACACGCCAATCAAATATTATATGGGTTCCTCTTCTTATGTCCATTCATACTTCCGGGAGCCTATCACAAAATATGTTCGGACACGACCGATGTTCCTCAACCATGTGGATCAAAAGATTACTGTACATGTTCACTACACATCCACTTTCTGTCATACTTGTTATGCTGAGAAGTGTCTTCCGACCGTGTTTACCTTTTGTCTTAGTTTTAGTTTCGTTTATATCTTTTGTTATTATAAATAAAGGTATTGTTTTGGGTGATAGAGAAGCACATACTGCAGTTTTGAACATCCCTCAATTTTTTTACTTTGCTACTTTTTGTGCACTTTCTACTCCCATTCAGTTTGTGGGTTTCATAGTAAATAGCATAAAATCATTTAAAAACTTGCTTGTTAATCGAATTTGGAGGGTATTGAGTATATTTCTTCTGCTCATACTACTTTTTGTCCTAATTATATTAATATCTTTGAAGTATTGTCTTTTTATTCATCCTTATTTGATTTCTGACAATAGGCATTATACTTTTTATATCTGGCGAAAAATCATATATAGAAATGTTTCCACGTATTATGGTCTGTCTGTTGTTTACCTGGTAGCGACAGCGTACTTTGTGAACACCTTGTTCTTTTCTTATCGAAACATACCATTCGGTCCTTTTATAGAACGCTTAGTTTTGTTAGTGTGCACTTTCATTGTTGTAATTGCTTCTGGTTTACTCGAATTGCGATATTTCTTGATCCCATTTGTATTATGGCGCATCTTCTCCTTTTCACATACTCATTATAAGTATTTGCTATGTGAAGTTTTGTGGAATTTATTGATTGTGTTTATTACAGCATATCTCTTCATCTTTAAGCCGTTTGAATGGCCAAGTGAACCTGGTGTGTATCAAAGGTTTATGTGGTAGCTTTTTTTAATGCCTTTTAAATAACATTTTATTCATGTCTAAACGCGCATTAATGTGACTGAGATTTACCGCAAATATCGAATGACTGTGATGCGAGCTGTTTAAATCGTAACTAATTTACGTGCAACACTTATTTGTTCATGAAATGTACTTTTAAACTTGGAACTTGTTCTTCAAAATACCGTGACAGTTGTTACTAGTCAGCCGAGTTACTTCAAATGCTTACAGTTGATAATTATACTTTTTTACTATGTAACAAAAAACAATCATCTACTGTGTTCTAGTATTCTGGACGACACTTAAAATAACTTACTGTATATAATTCAAGCATTGATTATTCTGTTTTCTTCAAATGAAGAAATACGAAATTTTTTATGTGGATAGGGATTAAGATATTTAAACATATCTCGAAGACATTACTTTTATGAACTACGTATAAGTTCATATGGTCTTTAGAAGTTATTACAACGGAAAGAGTTACGAGGCTGCGTTAAATATATTCTGATGCAACATCAATTCGTGTAGTTCTCAGCAAACTGTCAAGATATTTATTGATATCTCACTCATATGTTTAACTAGAAGTAAAGTCAGATGATTTATAAATCTGTAGTTTCAAAATTTAATTTAGAATTTTTTTTTAGAACTTATTGTCATATGACCTTTTAATTAAGTGAACTCACAAATTACTTACCCAAATTTGCTAATTCAAACTTCTAAATATCTGAATATTTTTAACGTCAAGTGCTGTGTCTGAAAAACAGTTTGTTCAGTACTGGTCGATGTTTAACTATTATTGCGAAACATAGTTCTACAATATGCTTCATGTTATGACAGTTAAGACATTTACTAGTAAGTGATAATGTTAGGTTTATTGAAATGTTATTCGGTTTAAATCTCAAACGATATTTCAATTCATCCATTAACTTAAGCCCAACTATTTTAACCAACCATCTAAAAGAGAACATAAAGAATGATGTGTAAGTCTGAATATGTATATATCAACATATGAAATTTGTTGATTCGAAAGAACAGCATAAATCTGTTTTGTTAAAAAGTACTCATTTACAATATAATAGATAATACTCAGTAGGATCCACAAGTTTAGAAATTCCTAACTAGAATTATACCGTATTTACATCTTTTATCCAATGTCCAGAATGTGAACCTTTAGTTAGCATTCACTTAGTGGAGATGTATATTGAAAAGATATTCAGGCTTCACATGTGCATTGTCAGATTATTAGGAATATAGAATTACTTGACTAGCGCTATTTTATGAGTAGTAAGAATTAAACCACAACACTTGTAATTAATCCACTTCATAACTAATGATTTTCTAACTCTTCAGTAGATCAGATTTGGATTTCAGTTTCCTAACGATCAGCAATCAATATAGGTTAAGTAGTGCTTATGCTTCTCTATTTAATGCCTAGCGAAATTTTTTCAAAATTCATCTATCAATTAACTTAAGCTGAACAAGAACAAACCTAAGAAAACCGTTGTCATGAAGTAAATCATCCTAGCACATGCTATTTACTCAAATACTTGTGATTGGGGTTCAGTTCACAAATAACTGAATTGGCTACATTAAGTAATTTACTTCAATACTGCCTATTCTAGTCTTATATACCTCTGCTATATGCCTTTAAGACCAACTTTTTTTTAAAATTCAGGTCTTGATCTGACTAGAAGAATTCTTATTGACTTTTAGTGTACAAACAATATAATTTTGCTGAGTAACTGTTGAAAAATACAGTCTTCCAGACAAACTTAGTAACAGTACTGATTAGTACTCGTTCCTCTTAACCTAAGCGCAAACAGTTGTTTCAGATTTGGTTTTCATTGATGCCTATTGCAACATATAAATGAAATAACTGTATAAACTAATTCACTTTCCCAAAGAGTCATCGTTTTAGGTTAGGTTGACAGTTAATAGTGTCGATACGGATACGAAAGCTGAATCGATTTTTACCAACTGACAATACTCAAAGTACAGGGGATATACGTATATACCTCTTAGAAAGTGAATTTATTTCAGAGAAGTCTGTTCCGTATTATTTTGTAGCTATGAAAAGTGTACTCTAAAATTGGAAAATATACATAAGTTATTAGCGTTTAGCCATAGATATTTCTATAATATTCGAATACTCGTATGAACTAGGAATTCCAGGATTAACGCAATTGAACTAAGAAGATATTCTAAATCGACTTCATGGTTCTAAAGTGTTCTCGAAAGTTGACCTAAAAGATGCTTATCTTCAAATTCCTTTAGATGAATCTTCATCTATTTTGACGACAATTAACACTCCTTTTGGTCTGTTCAAATACAATTTCCTTCCATTTGGTCTAAGTTGTTCTCCAGCCATATTTCAGGAAGTTATGAATAAAGTAGTTAGTGATCTTGAAGGTGTTGAGGTTTATCAAGATGATCTCATTGTTCATGGCTCTAATAAGGTAGTTCACGACCAGAGACTTATTGCTTTATTGCGTCGTTTAATTGAGAAGAATATAACAGTGAATCCAAATAAGTGTTCATTTTGTGTCTCTAGTTTTGAATGCCTTGGATACCTAGTTGATGGTAATGGTTTTAGACCAGATATGAAACGACTAGCTCCACTGACTAATGCACCGTCTCCGAAAAATCTTACAGAATTACGTTCACTAGTGGGTGCTCTTCAATACTATTCCCGTTTTATTCCTAATTTTTCTTGTCGTGCAAATTGTTTATTTAATATTTTAACATCAAATTCATTCAAATGGAGTGAGGAACAAGAGTCATGCTTACGAAGTCTGCTGAAGTTTCTTCAAAGTGATGCTGTTCTTCGAACGTACTCCCCTAATGTACATTCTGTGCTTATTACTGATGCATCACCTGTGGGAATTGGTGCAGTTTTGGAACAGGAAGGTAGACCAGTTATTTGTGTTTCACGCAAACTTACTGTTACTGAACAAGGTTATTCACAGACTCAGCGAGAAGCATTAGCTGTGTTTTGGGCTGTTAAAAGACTTCATAAATATTTATTCGGAAAGAAATTCACTATTGTTACTGATCATGAAGCTTTAAAGTTTATTTATCATCCCGAAAAATCCTTAGCACGTTCCTCAGCAGCTATGGTTCAGCGATGGAGTATTGCTTTGAGTGCATATGACTATACGGTTCAGCACAGAAGTGCCAAACAGATTCAACATGTTGATTACATTTCTCGACAGTCATTACAAGATAAACCTATTAATACTTCGGATTGTTTGTTAGTGCAACCTTTACCAGTGAGACGTTCAGATCTCATTAGAGAAACTCGTAGATATTTTGGATGTATACTCAGTGCTATAAGGAAAGGTTGGAATGCTAATTTGAAACGGAGATTTCCTATCTATTTTTCAAAGCGGGATGAGTTATCTACTACTCCTGATGGTATTCTGTGTTTAAACGATCGTGTTGTCATTCCTCCTTCATTGCGTAAATCTGTTCTTGAAGATCTTCATAGTGGTCATTTAGGTGTTGAGAAAATGAAGTCCTTGGCAAGGCTCACATGCTGGTGGCCAGAGATAAATGCAGATATTTGTCGTACGGCAAACAATTGTGAGAAATGTCATCAGTTGAAAAATCATCCTTCGAAGTGGGTGCCATGGCCAGTATCGTCTGAGGCCTGGCAGAGGATTCATGCTGACTATTGTGGACCATTTCTTGGTAAATACTACGCACTAGTAGTCATTGATTCTTTTTCAAAGTGGCCTGAAGTTTTTTTCACAACTTCTCCAAATTCTGATTTCACAATACAAGCATTAAGAAAGGTGTTTAGTCGAGAAGGTGTTCCCTTGGTGTTGGTGACTGACAATGGCTCACATTTTGCTGCAGATGCAGTCACTACCTGGTTGAACGGTATAGGGTGCAAACATCTATTTACTGCTCCCAGACATCCGTGTTCTAATGGTCAGGCAGAGAATTTTGTTAGGACATGAAAGACTGCTATTGATTCTATAGCCCCCTCAACATTTAATGAGCTGGAGAGGGGAGTAGATACCTTTCTATTGCAATATAGAAATGCCAAACATTCGGTGACGAAGGAGACTCCAGCGAAGCTATTGAAAGGAAGAATTCTTCGGTCGAATATGAGATGTCTGGAGTCTGCAGAAGTTACATACTATCGAGGAAATGATCTTCGACCATCTACGGGTATTGTTCTGAAGAATGTCGGAAAATCGATGGTGCGAATTCTAGACATCGATGACTTAAGTACACACAGTCGACATGTAGATCAAATACAATTTCAGGAACCAGGTGAGTCAGTTCCAATTTCGATTGTTAATTCTAATGCTAATGAGCATATTCTAGATAATACAGAATCCTTATCCAATACATTGTCAGACAGACTCAGGATGAATTTGAGAAGAAGACGTACGATTGATTACAAACACCTAGACTCCAATTTAAGCTGTGGCGGATGTGGTGTTTGAATGAACCAATGATACCTTGGTACTGGTTGAATGTTTGAATTCGAATTCTAAATACAATACATTCGTTTGTGCCTGTGTCTTCTTAGTTCAATTGCGTTAATCCTGGAATTCCTAGTTCATACGAGTATTCGAATATTATAATTTCCCAACTGTACGCACATTAGTATGCGAGAGATGAAAATGTGAAGTGAAGACTGCTGGTTAAAGTAGTGATTTGGTGGACTGGGTCGTGAACTTTTATAGACTCAGTTGGCCAAGGTTTATTAAATGTCTACCATTTACTCTGATAAATTAAACTGGGTAATATGAGAATATGTCGGAAAAAAATATATGATCAAATTAAAACTTGGCATCAGTACTTAAAGTTGTTGGTTAGTAATCTAAAGGGGTGGTGGTACCGTAGGATCCATAGTTTCTTTATGAGGTTCACGTTGATGATCGTGGTAAAATAGCTTAAGATCGTTGGCATTACCATACCCTCCATAACTTTCGCAATCCAGTTTCATTCATTTCTCGATTCTACTAATTCTTACTATTGACTACTGGAAGTAGCGTTACGGCTACTCTTATTAGTATTTTGTTACTGTCTTCTTTCTCTGTAGTTATGTGAAGAGTTTAATAACTTTAGCCAAATTATTATTATCATTGACTCTACAAAGCACTGCTCTACTTACTTTGCTTCGACTCATAATTTACGTATGAGGGCTAGTAAAACTGTGTTTCATCAGACTGAAATATGTGGGGCAGGTCCTAACCTAGGATTTAGTATCTAAAATTCAAACACCTTACTCCAGTTCGACCGATACATGCATATTGTGCAGCTGAGCCTTTAGATTCTGATTTAAATCTAGGAGATGCAACGTTTAATGACCCGAACGCAAATCACTTGGAACCAGATGGTGTAAAATCAAGAGTCACAGAAGTTTATAGGGAAGTACACTTCAGGCAACCAACGAAACTAGAAAGAAGCGACCATATGGGCGCAATAACAGATGATTCGAAAGAGACAGGTACAAGTATATGTATGCAGTCAGTGGAGTATAGGGTGTTTTCAAGCAATCAGCTAAATATTCGAATATATGCAACATGAAAGCGACTAGAGTCCAAAAAGCCAAAAATATTTCACATGATTTCCCGATTTTCATGAGTCAGATCAAGTGTTCAATAGTATGCAATATATATATATATATATATATATATATATATATCCTGTGTTGGGTATACCTGTCTATTGGAAAAATCGCAACTCAATGGGTCCTATTTATCAACTAATTGAATTTATTGAAAAATAAACCCAATAAGTACTTCAACAGACTATAAATAAATAATATATTTGTAATATCCCAGTGAGTAAAAAATTAAATTAATTTTACTTGGTTATTTATTCTCTGAAGAAGTGGCTTACGTTGAGTCACGAAACATCAGAAAACCTAATTTTTCTACTCATTTATATATTACAAATCTATTATTCATTTATAACAATCTACCCAATGCTCAATTTATTCTAAAGTATCAATTCAACAGACTGTTTAAACTTCTGTGCAATTTTTAATCAAGCAAGTTTCAGACAGTTGTGTCAGTCCACTTAAAATATATGTCACATCGGTACGATAAAAGTTTGTAAAGAACCATTTTTTTTAAAACCAATCGTATTCCCCCCCCCCCAAAAAAAGAAAGGAAATAAATTCATTAGCTTAACTGGTCTCACAAATGCTTACTGTTTAAAATAACAAATGAATAATGACTATTTACGTTGTGAATATGTCAAATGATATAAAAGTCCAAAGGTTATAGATCGATTTCGTTTGATTTTGGTTGGTACTCACCTTACCACTATTACTGTCATTATGTTAATCAATTTTAGTTCATGGTTAATCACAAGTTAAATGAAGATCGTTCTCTGAAAGAATTTGATGACTGGCTAACTAGATCATCCAGCCTGCACACTGCATATCCTGGAAGAAGTTTATTGAAAATTTCAAACAACTTAAAATTTGGCCAACGTGGTCTAATTGCTTGTTGTGAAATAAAAGCAAAACAATGCTGTTATTCTGTACCATTAAATGATTTACGCTTAATTCTTACACCGTTACGATGTGCTTATCTACTCAATCATTGTCCATGTTTTGAAGATTCCAAACGTTATCAAGCTAATTTAAACTCTATCGATACTCTTATAGCTTTTATTTATCATTGTAAATACTCAACTTCGACCAAATGCATCTTAAGAAAGATTTGGGCATCTTATCTATCTGTTCTGCCAGAAGTTTATTTGGATCCATTATCTTGTATCTTATTCGATACTGACTGTTTATTTGAAAGAATATTGGCAGCTAACGCTTCGCACTATTTTCATTCAAATGATGTAAATATTAAATTACAACGTTTGCTAACACGACTGTTAAGATCGTGGCATTGCATAAAACGAATTTTTACTAATAACAATGATTGTACAAAAGGTTTGCACTATAAAGGTTATAGCATTCCGCCAAAAGAATTTCTATGGGCTTGGTGTACCGTGAATTCACGTTGTGTTTCATGTCCTTTTAAAGAATCTTTATCAGAAGTTCAACATCTTTATAATCTACTAATCAGTTTTGATTTAAAAGATTTGAGCTTTTGTAACGATTTTGAAGTTGTTTCAATGTTTATGAATGCGGAGAATAGCCACACAGTCGCTTTGATACCATTTTTTGATTTTTTAAATCATGGTCAGAATGTACCAACCGCTCTATCATTGTCTAAAACAGAATTATCATTGGAATTATATTTGGAACGTTCAGTATCTGCAGGTGAACAGGTAGTCTTTTGTGTTTTCTCTTTATAATGCGAAGAATGTTATCATTTACCTTTTAGCTGTAACATTGTATACTACTAAACAATAAATATGATGCGATATAATTTACTGTAATCAGTCAATCACAACTATTGGCAAATTAGACTCGGAATGTATGTAAGTACGCGGTAGGAAACTCTGCATAACCTGGACTTCATGCTAGTTTGCTGCCACTCGTCAGCAAGATGCTTAACTGTACGGTCTTGAGGGAACTGATACTTCACGTAACTTTCTCACATCACCCTACTACATAGTCTGGGACGTCATCATTAAATTATGTAGGCTGGACTAAAGAGCTAGGCATTCGTCACTATTCACTGCCTTCTAGTTGCGGAGATGTTGTTTACGAAATTGAGAGGACGAAAACCGAGTGTCCGGCGCTTTAACCGGGTCGGTGGATACGGAGAGTCCACCTAGGAGGGTTGCAAAGCCCTGATTCCAAACCAATGGTGCACATGGGCTCCAATACCCTGAGGGAACAAATGGAGTATGAACCAATCGTTGGTCACCGGCTACCATGGGACTGCATCTCCTGACGTTGCTCCACTGCCTTGTGGATCAGACTTTGAGGTAGAAGGCTCCGGGTATGGCCCCTTAAGAAAACCACCTGCTTCGGTTTGGGCACCCGGGCAGTATCATAACCCACACACAAATCAAGTGAGTTGTGTGGCGTATATGTATTCAATGCCCCTTTTTTACCAATATTTATGTGTTCAAATAAATAAATTCGCTGACCAATCAGTTGTACAGTTCACGATAATACTTGTAACAACTGAATAATTTGTATACACTAAATTACTGTATTCTGTTATAGTTTTTATTGATAGCCCATAAGCAAAAAGTAGGAAACATGATCAGTTCAATATATTGCCGTGTGCTAACACCATTTATAATCACTTGTACATTTCTTCATCTCGACTCAGATAAACAACCCTATCAATAATACGGAGTATTCACGTAGATCATGCGGCCAATAAATTGCCAAACAGCCTGTGTTATTCATTAAACTCTGGTCCTCAATTCAGAAACCGGATGGAACTACACAGAAAATTCGAAATAAAAGTACACACTATGCCTTCAATAACTTACCAACTCCTTCTCCAACAATTCAGTAGGATATTCCTTCTAACAGTCAAATTTTTAACTTATGTTTCCTTGATAAGTCTAAATAGTTCCCAACTATTACTTATGGTCACCGCCTTTCCCATATCTTTGATTCTCGTTGTCCACCACTGTTCATGATCATTGAGTAGGCTTTTTACCACCCTACGCCTAAGCTGCCTTCGCTGCTCATCGTGTTTGAAGCCTATATATATAAGCAGTCGTTATGGAAATTTAATAATTCTCAATAAATTCCCATACTAATAACGTAAATTAACCAAAACCAAATTAGTTACTATTCAAAACCCGGTTTCATTGTTTTGTTTTATTTGTTTCATATCCTGTTGATTATTTTTGTTTCTAATTTCTCCTAACTTCTAGGTTTTAATCAATTACGGAGCACATGATAATTTAACTCTATTCACAGAATATGGTTTCATTCTTCCATTCGATGAGAAAAGCACCAATGAAGTGATTTACTTAAGTTACTGTTTCATCATGGATTTATTTCATAATTTAGTCGATTCATTCATAACATTGACTAGCAGTATTAGTAATAGTAGTAGTAATTCTGTTAGTATATCGAATACAATCAAATCGTTTACTGATAATCAAACTGTAGAGAATAAATTCAAGATATTACCACAAGTCTACTATTCATTACGTCTTTATTTTCATCGAATTCTTGAAAAGTTAGATCTATCCCTACCACATAATTCCACTGATAACGATGACGGTAACGGCGATGATGATGATGATATTACATGGAGTTCAGTTTATTTATCACTTGATAGTAATAATAATTTTGGTCCATCCTATCACCTAGGTTTAATATTATTTTTAATGTATACATTTATGAGTAATATACATAACAATGATAATCAACAACAGTGTTATCAATCTCTTGATAATTTGTATAATATTTCAGAAGACACTATTTACTTAACTATTCAAACATTATCAAATCGAATTTATACGATCCTTTTAGAACAGCTGAAACATGATCGGGAAAAAATTGTTCATTTAATGAATAATCCCGCCTGTCAGCACTATTCGTCAACATTGATGTCATCTACTTTAGCGACATCTATTTGTTTAGTAAATAAATTTTGTAAAGATTTTTTATATTATTTTGATCAACGTGAATGTTTTATTAAAAGTTTAATGGGTAGTTAATATTGCTATATTATTGTATGTATGTATGTGTGTATGTATTGTAGGGAACATAATTGCCTTTTTCATGTGTATGTTTATTTTAAAAGGTTTCAACTGACTTGCATATCTTGTTATATATTGTCCTTGTTCACTTATTTGTGTTATTTTTGTTGATTGAGTTCCACTTCTCTCGTCTATTTTTTAAAATACAGATTACCTCTATGTGTTTGTACCTAGGTGTACCGGGACAGACGTATTCACTCCTTGCCTTCCTCTAGAACCTGAGTCTCGAAATCTTAAACCTTTTTTCTTTGTATATACCTAATATCTTCTATTAGTATGGGATTTGTCTTAGAATAATTTTATCTCGCTTTACTAATATGGTATGTATGACGACCTGAACATGTGTCAGATTCTACGTTGCATATAACCGACTGAATATTGTACCGGTGTCTATGTGTATTTTCACTTTTACAACTGATCTATTGACAGTTCCCAATAAAATAATGAAACAGAATAACTTATTTTTCTACGAAACCACACCCTCCCCCACACTCCCTTAACATATTAATAGCGTTATTTGTTTGAAAATTGGTTTAAAATTAACATATCTATGTAGCGGTGACGTTTTAATGGAGAAGACGTTCAACTTTGAACGAATAGGCCGCAAGCTCGAGTCCTTTTTCCGTTTCCGAATGGTTATTACTAGCCTTCACATACACGTAATGCAATCTAGTTTTCTATGTCGTAACAAATGTATGTGGTAAGAAATTTTTTGTTTGTTCCGTCTTTAATTCAGTAATCTCTACTTATTTAACCGATGAGCTAGACATTCTTTACCCATCTTCATTACTATAAGTCAAACTATGTTGTAATCATTCGCATATCAGCTGAATAGGTTATCCTAAATATACAACTTGTTGAGGTGTATCAACTAGCACGAAACATGTATAAAATAGAGCTACTTCCTGCCGTTTGCCTTCAAACACCAACTAACATTTAGACAGTCTTATTCATTTCATTGGTTACGTGAAACAGTATCATATGAAGCTGATGTGTAGCAACATTTCCTTTTCAATATAACAGTCAGTCTCAGTTATGATAAGAATGACTGAGTATACGGTACGTAATGACAATAAAGACCTGTGTATAAAGGGATATTGAAAAACAAGAATGCATCTGTGCTATCGTGTTTGATTTCGAACCATGCCGCCCAAAATATCTAACCATTTTTACTATAACGTCACTAGGAATATGAACAGTACTTTGGTTCTCATCATCCACTAACTGATATATATTAATATATTAGTTATATATCGAAATTCTATTTGTAAAATAAACAAATCAACGCTATCGTTTACTAAATTGTGTTGGGTTTTTTTTGTACATGTTCGGATTTTTGAGGTAGTATTGATGTAAGTTATCACGGAGAGTTTGAATTCTTTCCTCCACTTAACTTGAAAAACATAAACGTAAGTTGTGGATAAAAATAAATATGACAATATTCTAGAAATTCGAAAGAGGAGATATTGAGTATAGTGATGGTAGTAATATCAATATAGTGAACAATTTATAAATTAAAATGTAATGTAATACTCTTCTTGTCCCGTTGCTCTTAAAGGGCTTACGTATATAAAGGAAAACGGCAATACGTTTTTGGGTAATTTCCATTATGTTTAGTAGATCTCAACTAATTGGGTTGTTTGATCTCTGTGACAAGACCGTGGGTACATGGAATACCGCATATATAAGCTAACATTTCACAAATGTCATTCGTTCTACGTTTCTATGCCATAAATCAATCGCTTTCGCTTGTTGGCTACAGCCTGGACGTATAATAGAAAGATAATTGCTTGACTTTCAACTAGTCGATCTCAACTCCGAAACACACTTCATACACCTCAGTTTGAGGAGTTGATTATTATCATTAGGCGTACATAAACCTGTACTTGGCAAATGAGTTAAGTTACATTACACAATTATCAATATGAAAACTACTGCAATGAAATAAACAAAGTGTACGCGAGCTTCTCATCTAAATTAATTGTTGTAATCAAGTTCCGAATAACAATCTTTATTATTCTCAATAATATTTATCAGGTTTCATTACTACTCATATAATATTGCCATTAAATGTGAGTATTCCTACAGAAACCACCATCGTCAATCACATTAAGCATATGAACGCTTTCATCGTGGTTGGGTCAGACTGCATATGCCTGAAGTAAAACTACATGTTCTACAAACACTAGACAGTCAGATTTCTAGAAAGCATAACATGTTAAGACAGAAATTCCACATCAAGTTTTAGTTTAAGTACCAAAACAGTCATTTAGCTACAACGTAAGACCAGGCACATATATGCATTGGTCCAAGTTGTCACACCTCATTAGCACAGCAATATGAACATCAGATTCATAGAAGTAGTTAATTCAATGGTGGCAATATATAAAAGAAAGATTGCATATAAGGACATAGTACAGGAAGAAAGAATTAGTTCATGGAAAGAAAAGTATGGAGCGGTTTTAATCTCTCGGTTTAATGGAGGACAAAGAGTGTATACGCCGAAGCTATTGTGACCGATTCTGAACCATATCGCACAAAGTCACCAACCATTGGTTACGACAGTCACGCGGACCCTAACCAAGTAGTCTGCATCTGCCAACATGGCTCGGACTAGAAGTTAGTGAATTCAAGCACTGATCCCACGTTTTGGTTTGGCCGCCCCTAAGTAACATAACACTTCGCATTTCTTTTTGTAAAATATCACATAATGCTGCTTTATAAGTAATCAGTAGTTAACTGAGCGCTCGAGTGAGATAAAGTTTGTATTCAGCTGGGATATTAATTTAATGTTTATACTATGTGTAAATTCTATCAGAGTTCAACAGCACGATTGAGATACTCGTGATACCAAAGTCCAAAAAGCAACTATTTCTCTAAGGAATGGGTCTATTAATCAAGGAGTAAACGTAAATGGGTTGCAAATCTCAACTGGTTAGGTGTCTGTGGCAGTTAACGCGTCTGTGAGTCTGGAAAGAAAAAGGCTTTCTGTCATCACAAAATAAAAAGCAATTACAATACACGATGTCGTAAATGACAGCTGGGAGATGTGTCTAATGTCAACCGAAATGCGAAATAAGTGCACACAAATATGAAATCTGTCTTGTTCAAACAAAGATTGAAGTTTACAAAAACTAGGAATAACTGTTACGAGATACAGAGAAAGTAATTAAAATAATAATTATATTGTATGTTATTAATTGATTTAAATACTTTAGGGAATTACATAACAAATAAACGTGCGTTACACCATGCATTCATAAACTATTAGATATCGGATTGTTTGCTGAATATTAACAAGCAGTGTAAAACAATTCACAATCATTCGATTAAGGTAGGAATAAGGACAAGGCAAAAGAATCTAACATTGTCTGAAACAAGTACTTATACACAAGTTTATTGAAATGTTCGATCGTCTTTTGTGTCAGTAAACTGAATTATCGACTAGTGTCTTTTTATCATCACACAATAAGCGCAAAAATAGTTATTCGGTCCTAAGACACTTTAGACGCATGAGGATTAGTGATACTCTACCCGATGACTGCATATACCGAAATAGATGGAACAGAGCTCGGACTTACTACCTGACGATTGAAAATTTAGTACTTTAACCACCAAGGCTGTTCATTTGACCTATTCAATTTTGAATCTGAATGTAGATGTTAAATAGATATTCAGCCTCATCTAGGCGAGGTAAAGTTGCATATAAAAAGTTCCGGAAGCAAATACACGATATTGCACTACAATCTCTAATTGACTTCGGTAAGTAAATGCCTCAACCTAACACGGTTGAATATTTATTTCAGAGTATCCCGGCAACAACCTGTAGTGCTTCAAGGTCGAAACTATAAAGTGAATTGGAATTACCATCAGATATGGGCTAGGTTGCAAGTTAATATGAACAAATCATAGTTTAGTGTAGTGAGGATTCAAGTTAAATCAAGAAATTGAATACAATATTGCAACATACATCATGTATTAGAAAAGCACCCTTGATAGTCTAGAAAGACTGAATTGTTGAAAATAAAAGAGTGCTCACTGGACACAATACTGATAGGCAAAAAATAAATTGAATAACATTTAGCTAACTAAGAATAAAATTTCTTCGCTAGAAGAGAGTCGAAAAAAGTATAAATGACAACAAAATAACTAAATGCGCGACGTCACTTGGCGGGAATTGTATAATCGGGATAAAGGAAGGTTGATAATGTTTAGTTTTTTGAATACATAAACCAAGAATCTGGTATTTGATGGCTATGGATTCTGTAAATTTCGTAGAACTAGTGCCTAACTGTTTACTAATCATCAAAGATTCATTTGTGTCGATCCGATTTTCTATACTACAAAGATGTTCAGAAATTGCACTGTTCAACAACCTGAATCCAGATAATTATTTACTTTTACGGAGTTAAATCAGATATTTCATTAAAAAAAGCTATATTTATTGGTTATAACAATTTGATATTATTATTTTTTAAAATTGTATTATCTACAAGTGCCCAATACTACCCTGTTCAATATAACTGAACTTAACTATTGATCATTTGAAGCAAAAAATGTGGAACTCAGTGCGTTTATTTTTGTTGTATAATAAATCTTGATCTATCATTTGCATTACCTTTTCATTGAGCCATACCAGTTGCTTTACTCTATTAGAACATGAAACTAATGATTGTGAATAGATTTTTAACTAAATGCACCAACGTATATATGATGATTAAAGAATGACCAGTTGTGTAAAACTGTTCGACTTTCTGTTCTCGTTAGCTTTCACTGTCAAATAGGTGTGAATTATTCAGCTTCTGACCATTTAGATGGTCAAGCGTAACTTGTAATTTTATAATGCCTCAATCGACTATATGTATTGTTTCTGATGTTTAAATGTCTACTAGATATGAATCATTAGGTCATTTAAGGTAATCAGTTTTCTTTTTAAATTACATAATGAATACATTGGAATCAATGAAATCAGTTGAAAAGTTAATTTATAGGAAAAATATATTTGATATAACTGCATAGTTGTAATAACAGGATGAATATTGTAAAAGTTGGAACTGGTTTTCGAATTATTAGTATTTATTTATTTATTTTTTGTATAATTTCTAAGTAACTGGATTATCATATTTATATATTGCGTTTATCTGAAAATCTCATTTAACCTATGAACTATTATTAACAGAGATTGACATTATGAATGGATCAATGTCGGGCCACCATTGAAAACCTAGAGGCACTGAACAGCCCTTTCGTTCTAGCATGGGACTCCTCAACAGTGCGCATTCACGACCACGCACACGGGAACCGATCCCAGAAACTTCGATCTCGCGCACGAATGCTTAACCCCTAAACCACTGAGCTTGCATCCAACGGTGTTGATGTCCAGCTTCAACCAATCCATGATATTGCTGAAGAGGCCCATATCGGAACGAAATGG